GTCAGCGCCCTTGGCAGCAGCGCAGCATCAAGCGAGAGCGCAGCAGCACTTCCGCATTGCCAGCGCTGGCCAGAATGCCTGGCCTGGGCTGCTTCTTCCCTTTTGTGGAAGTGGCAGCCTCCTGGATGCTGCGTGTGGCCTGACTGGAAGCTTCCAGTAGCTTCCGGTTGGGTCCCAGACCCTGCGCCCAGGCCCGAGACTACAGTTGAGGGCCTGGGCTCTCGGGCCTGGGCGCTTTTGCAGTTAGGCACGGCCTGAGTCTCCGGACTTGGGGTGTTTGCTGCATCTGTGCAGGGCTCCCAGGCAGGTGCGTTGGCACTACTGCTTTTGCAAAGGCCGAAGGCCTGCTTCCCAATGTATCGGCCCTGCTTTGTGTACGTGTGCCCAGGCGCAACTGTCAAGGCCTGGGCCAACTGTATGACGCTGCAATGTGAGGCTCACGCGTCTTCTCAACCAACTGGCGTGCTGCGAGAGCCTGAATACCCGCATATGGAAATGTCGAATTTTGCCTTTGACGAATATTCAGGCCCGCCTTCACTTAGGGCGGGCACTTGGCTTGCTGAGGCCTTAGCCCAGAACAATGTGATGTCTGATAGGGCCATTTGAGGGCTTGTTCCTCACATTCCATTCCCCTTAGCTTCAAAAGTCCGCTGAGATGCTTCATGCTGGTGCCTTCCCCTTCAGTCTCTTCTCATAATCTGCCACGATCTGAGGAGCTGTCTTGACAAGTTCCTCCCTTGAAATCCATCAATCTTCCTTGGATCTGTATGATGCCTGAAATGTACTCTGTATGCCCTCGCAGGTTTGGGAGGTCTTCCCCTGCCAGGTGGCTTGGGAACAGGCGTCTCTCTGTGATCCAGGATATCGTCGACGTCCACGTGGCCATCCATGGTTGGGGGAAGCATAGATCTCCGTGATGGGAACTGTGCTGTCTCAGCGAAAGGTGCAAGCTTGGAGGCGTGAAAAACAGGGTAAGTGCGTACGTGACCAGGGATACGAATGACGTACAAGGGACCATCCAAATCATTCCCCACAATGTCCAGGACTTCCCAGGGACCGAAATACTGAGGCATTAGTTTCCTAGAGATGCCAAACTCCTGTCCCAACTCACTAGCCTTGCCCCAGACACGTTCCCCTACCTGAAATGTGGACTGTCGGCAACGCTTGTTCTCATAAGCAATCATGACTTCCTGAGATTTCTTGATGTGTTCGACAGTCTGCTGCAACAGTTTCTCATACTGGACACCAAATTCAGTGGTTCCAGGAGTTGCAGCAGTTCAGTTTTCAAGCAGGAGGAAGTCTAGAGCAGATCTAGGCTTCCACCCTAGATGCAGTTGATTAGGACTGACGCCGGTGGTGTTGTGTACAGCGTTATTGTACAGGCTGGCGATGAGAGGTAATTTCTCATCCCCGTCATCCTGGCTGGGCTTGATGTAATGCCTCAGCAGATGCTGCACCACTCGGTTCATCTGTTCAGCCTGCCCATTTGCTTCGGGATGATTCCCTGAAGTCATCTGAAGCTGGCTGCCCATCTGTTCAGCGGCCTTCTTCCACATCTTGCTTGTGAAACGTACATCTCTGTCACTGACGATCGTTTTTGGAAGTCCATAGTCACGCACCCAGTTGTCCATGAACAACTTGATGACGTGCTCAGTCCTGGCAGTTTCTTGCATGGCGATTAGTCTAGCGTACTTAGTGAACCTATCCACTATGGCGAAGATGTGCCTCTTGCCATTCTTGCTGGTCACGAGAGTATCCATGAAGTCCATGGAGATACTCTGCCCTGGGCCAGCAGGAATGGGTAGAGGCTTTAGTAACCCAAGCGGAGCTTGAGTCCGCGGTTTGTCCCGCTGACATACCTGACAGGTCTGTACGTACTTCTTTGCATCGTCCAACATGTTAGGCCACCAAAATCGTTGTACTAAGTTAGCACAAGTCTTCTTATAGCCGAAATGTCCCATTGCGTCATGGCATTCTCCTAAAAACAAACTACGGAAATCTTCCCTAGATGGAACAACTAATTTCTTGAACCCTGCCTTCTCAAGGAAGAGCAACCCATCCACCATCACAAACTCATCAGTGGTGGCCTTGTCTTTAGCCTGAAGTTCGGTGATGATGTCCATCGTGATGGGATCTTCCTTGTAGGCTTCCTCCATAGATCGAGTCACGTCCTCAGATAGGCCAAACTCATAAATCAGCGCACCCAGGTAATCTGCCCTTCTAAACAACGCATCTGCAACCTTGTTGTACTCTCCCTTCACATAGTCTAGTTTGAAGTCATACTGATCTATGACTTCAATCCAGCGTTTGAGTGCATCGGAGAGAACCGGTTGTGTCTTGATCCACTTGAGGGTCTGGTGGTCAGTTCTCAAATAGAAGAACCTTCCTAACAGATAGTGCCTCCCGTGGACAAGTGCCTTGTAGAGAGCATAGAGTCCCCTCTCGTAGGTGGACTTTGCCAACTTCTTTGATGGCATCTTTTTGCTCATGTACTCGACCGGTCTCAACTTTTTCCCGTCCTGCTGAGCCAGCATTGCGCCAATGCCATATTGGCTTGCATCAGTGGTTACAACAAATGGCCTTTGAGGGTCGGGTACCATGAGAACCTCATGGTGCGTGAGAGCATGCTTCAAACATTTGAAAGTTGCCTCACACTCGTCAACCCAGTCCCATGGTGTGTCAAGTCGAGTAAGATCAGTCAAGAGAGATGCGATCGTGCTATAGTTCTTCACGAAGTTGCGGTAATAACCACACATTCCCAAGAATGATCTAACCTCAATCACAAACTAGGGTCGTGGTCAGTCCCTAATGCTAGCCACTTTCGCATCTTCGGGCCTAATCCCGTCCGCGGATACTTCATGACCCAAGTACGAGATTCGAGTGCGACCAAACTCGCATTTCTCTGCGTTTATCTTATACTTGTGCTGCCGAAGGAGTGAAAGCACTTTGTCTACATGTTGACCATGCTCCTCGACAGTTCTACTAAAGATAAGTATATCGTCAAGGTACACGACGACGAACTTATCTAAGTAGTCATGGAAGATCTTATTCATGGGGTGTTGGAATGTCCCTGGCGCATTGCCAAGGCCAAAGGGCATCACCACAAACTCATACAAACCATACCTGGTCTGAAATGCGATTTTGTGTTGGTCCTCTGGTCTTATGGCAATCTGATGGCAGCCAAATTTTAAGTCTATCTTTGTATAGTACTTACATCCCTGCACCCTATCAAATAGGTCGTTGACGCGTGGTAGAGGCTCTGCGTTCTTAACGGTGATGGCATTGAGGCCTCTATAATCAATGCACATCCTTAGTGTTCCCCCTTTCTTTGGAACAAAAAGAACTGGTGAGCCAAAGGGGGAAGTGCTAGGCTGTATCCAACCCTTTTCTATGAGCTCTTTCACTCTCGACGAAGCTCGTCCAACTCGGTCGGAGCCATCCTATAGACCCTCCCTTTAGGTGTCTTGCTACCTGGGATGATCTCTATGGCATGGACAACCTCCCTGTCTACGACTCCTGAGGGCTCCTCGAACAGATCAGGGTACTTAGCGACGATGGTCTCTATCTCTGGGGTGTTTTAACGGCCTCCCTTTTTGCAGAGACATAGACTAAGTACATTCCTTCCTCTTGATTCTGTTTATAATAATTATAGAAAGCTAATGCGCATAAGCACTCATAGGAGTCTATTAAACTACTAGCTTTATACTTAGCCAGTCTAACGGTTCTCCCACTAGGCAACTCGTGCTTCAACACCTTCTTGTCCCAGTCAAACTGGGGCTTGGCAACCTCGAGGTAGTACATGCCCAACAACATGTCAAAGGGCAACTCGTCGCTCACCAGGAATGATATCTTATGATTTATCTTTCCTCCTGGGTAGGAGAATGTGCGGACTACATCTTTAACGTAGTCCTCCACCATCATGCACTCTTTGTGGGCCAAAGTAGATGCTACTGGTCTACTAAGGCGCTGCACCCGGTCCTTTAGGCATAGTCTGTCAACGCAGTTGCGATTTAATGAGGTTTCGCGTGGAGCCAATGTCTACGAAGGCGCCGCACTTGTGACCACCCACACCAACTTCCACAACGAAGTGCTCCCCTCTAGGACCTCTACTCAATGCCACCCAGGCCTCACGAGGGTCCCTTGCCAACCACTCACCTTGAAGGTCCTCTAAGGCTTCAGACACATCCAACGTACGGAGTATATTTGGGTCCGGATGCGTCTGCGGGGTGACTAAGGAGTCAATAGCTTTGGCCAACTCTTGAAACGGGGAGGGCACATCACCCGCTTCAACGATAGTAGAAGTAGCTACGTCTTCTACCGGCCCTAAGTGTTTCCCGAGCTGGAGTTCGTAGAGGCCCCAGACTGAGAAAAAGGAAACCCACCCTTAGGAGGGATCTTCTGCGAGACCTTCGGGTTCTTACATTTAAACTGTGCATGGCCGTACTCGCCACAGTTGATGCAAGCACCTCGCGACCATCGATCTCGCCACAATTCCTGATCCAAGCCAGCTCTAGCCCAAGCAGCTATCTTGTTTGGGTTAGCGGCCTGCCCCTGACTCCTTTGCTGACCGCCCTTGCCGCGGCCTGCTGCCTTAGTCTTAACTACTACAGCGAGGTTGCTACCCTTAGCACTTTCCTCGCCGTCTAACTCTGCACCCTCCACAAGTTCAAAAACATCATCGATTTCAGTTTGATTCCCTTTGGAAATCAACCATCACCAATCGACTACCCTTCTTCTTCCATTCTTGTGGAGTCTTCTTCTTTCTCCCATTCGTAGAATGGGTTTGAGCACTACCCAGTGTAGCCTCTAAGTCTAGGGCCTTCTTGCTGAATGTCTCAAACGTGTGATACTCTCTGCGAGCCTCGCTAGCTAATAAGTTCTTGATGTCTATGGGAAGACATCTCAAGAACGTGGTCAACAAGACCTGTGGATTGTACTCCACTCCTGGGACAACAATCAAGCGCTCTACGGTCGTGGTAAGCTCTCGCACTGACTTGTACTTCCTAGCATCAAGCTTTAATAATCCATCAGTGGCAATATGTGCCTGCTGAGGATTGTGCCGCTGTGCTTCCACTAAATCCATAAAGCTTTCTAGGGTGTGGGTCTGCGCCCAGTCACCCATGTTCCTGTCGAACCCCTTTGAAGCTACCAATCCATTTAACCAGCGAGCTGTTGAACCCTCTAAATAGGATGCAACATTAATCACTTCCTCCTCTACCAATGTCCTCTTTGCCCTCACCCACACTGGCACCGTTCTCAACCACGTGTCGAGAGCCTCATCCTTCTTGTCTCCTGAGAAGGTTGGAGGTGGTTTCAGGGGGGGGTTGGGATACCAAGGATATTGTTGTCCCGCTGGCGAGACAGGTGGCAACTGTGGTGTAGCACCAGTCGCTGGACCAGAAGATGTAGAAGCCTCAGTCTGTGACATGGCTGCTGCTGATGTACTACTTGGTGCTGGTCCAGACTGAGCGACATAGGGGCCTGTCATCGCTGAGAATGGGAGCGATGGTAAGGCTGCTGGCCTGATTCCTGGCCTGTGCATGGCGTTCAGGATCTGGTCTAGGGTGTCCTGGATTTTATCCAGTTTGCTGTCCATGTATGCATGCATGGACAGGATGCTCGCCCTAACAACCTTTTCATTTTCGTTAAGGGTCGATTCATCTAACTCCTCTAGCGCAGCCTTGTCTGCCTCCCTACCCTCTAGTCTGACATTTCTATCTCTAATTTCTTTCTCTCTCTTAGTAGCCTATCTGAGTTCCTCCTCTAGCCTTAAGCGGATCCTCTCGACTTGCTGGAGCTCCATCTGCTCCCGGGTGCGTGGAGGCAGCGAGCTGAACTGCAAGCCCGCCATCTGACTAGTGCCAGCTCCTGACGTATTGGAGATGGAGTGTGAACTGGTCGACATGCCCAGCCCTTGACCAGTTAAGTTTGCAGCAGAAGTTGCTGTCGAGGTAGCCATAGCTACAGCGCTAGCTGCTGCTGCTGCTAACGCATGTTCAGCCGCTGCTTCTGCTGCTCTCGGAGTCTCTAGATTGCGGGCCCTTGTCTCAGCCCTAAGCCTTCTCTCGTCTCCTGGTAGTAGAACCTGGAACACAACAGGTATCCTGGCAGTATCCCGTCGTGTCTGCCTCCTATCGTCAGTTGTACCTTCAACACCCTGTGATCCACTCATTAGCTAGGCAGACGTTGTTTGCACTAATGTCCTCTTTGGAACCTACCGCAAGATGCGTCTGACCAGATCTAAAAATACATAAATGTCCGACGAGTTACCTAGACTACTATTCAAGCGGCATCAACAGAACCTACACAAACTGTACACATTGTCTAGGTCTAGCATGATTAGTTCTGCACAGAAGATTCGAGAAGAACTGACCATGGTATATTACAGCCCTACTCTAGTCTGTCTGTTAGGTGTCGGCAGTCGGTCAACCAACTAATCAAAAATAAAACTTAGACTAATGTGAGCAGATGTATGCACAATGGAAATGGTAGTGATGTTCAGTCGAGTTCACAATTGGAATCCCCTTCCCCTGTATCCAACGTACCTATGAGCATCATCAAGCTGCGGTGTCTAAGGTGTGAAACCACGGCCCACCCCTGTGCCCAAGAAGCATGCTTATGACCAGCCTGCCCTTTATTTACCCTCGCGTGCAACGAGCCTTACGTCTGACTGATCTGGCTGATCAAGAGGCAATTTAAGGACAACCCCTGGAGTCCTCAGGAATTCTTTAACGTCGCAATCAGCACGACGATCACAGCCAGTGGACAGTTCAGACCCCAACCAAAAATGTTTATAGACGGTCTGGGAGCGTCTCCATAGGACTGGTCAGTCCGCACACCCCTTCTATCAGCGCAGCAAAGAGCCTCAATGGACAAAGCAGCATGGCCTGCATGTACTAATACCCATGGGTTGGCATGGTGACCGTGACCCGTGCTTCGACCAGGGCCCTTCAGAGGCACCGCCCTCTCCTGCCAGATGCGCCACCGGGAAGCATGTTGTCTCTCAGGATAGAGTGCACACGACTCCTCACCAAAGAGAGGACACTCAAGTTGGACTCACTTCCTCACGGTAAGAAGAGATTGAGAGGGCAGATAAGGAATGGGAACAACGTACCTGGAGATAGCTGCCCCCAACCACAGATTTCTCACCAATTGGGCCAACGTGCATTTCGATGACCGGTCATTAGCCTCGGTACCACCCACAACGCAATGCAGTGCCACCTCAGCCAAAATGCCACGTCAGCATACTCTCATCATCATGCATACACCCACTGTCGCCACAGCTCCCACGCTGTCGCCACAGCCTTCCAGCGGCCGGCCTCTCCACCTAGGCCCCACTAATCAACCAGCGCCAAAGTATCCTAACTGCACATGAAGCATTGTCAGCGCACCAAGTCACAATGTCGCCGGTGCCAGGTAAGCGGCGATCACCAACCAGCTCCGATACCAAATTGCAAGGAATATGAGTGTGAGCGATATACATAAAACCAAGTTGCGAAATCACACAGCTGAACAAGTAGTCGTGTCCCAAGCAGAGAGTACAAATG